CCCCCCCTCCCAAAATAAAGGGCGCGAACGCCTGCGCAGCGCTGCTGCGGGCCGCTGCCTGCCGGAGCAGGCTAGTCGACCCCGGCTCTGGAGATGCGGACCCCTTGCTAAACAACAACGTTTTTAACATATGTGTGTATAACATCTGATTTGTTACGTGGAAGAACTGCAAGTCTAATGTGATGTTTCAACCGGGTTTCTATACACCGAACGATTGGGCAAAGGTAATATATCCACTCAAATGTGGTATAAGCATGAACTATAATATAATGTCAACCGCTTAACCTTCATGGGTGAGGATACTTTGATTAAACCCATTGAAGTTGGGTGGCATTTGAAGGTCTGAAGTTCACCTTTGTGTTGGATCGGTTTGATGAAATTGTTTGGTTTGAGCCGGCTCGGGCTTTCAAACGTGCCCCCATTTGGAAACTAACGCACTGCAGGGGACAGTTGATGATCTTGTGGAAACGCAAACATGGAAATTGGATAGCGCCACTCACACAATACACAAAGGGCTTGTTGCGGTTTGGAATCCAAAGCAAACTCAAAACCGATGAAGCACTTTTTCACCACAATGTCGACGGCACGACAATCACACAACCCGGACGGGCACAGTAGGTGACCGTATCCCTGATAGCAGAGGTTTCCACCAGCACATTCTGGTGGCCCTCCCTGAACTTGTTGCAACCTTGTGAAGACAAGGGACACAAACATGTCCAGGTTGTGTTGCCCACTTGGGCATGGAACAAAACCTTGCCAACCTTGTAGCCTTCCATTTCATAAAGCGCCAAATCGCCAGACCAGCAAACAGCGCCAGGAGAATAAACGGCTTGTCTTGAAATCAAAGGAGCTCCGTGACCCCCAAAGATCTTTGTAAAAGCGTAGTCGCATTCTGATGGGCTTCGGCTGGCTCCACAAGTCCCACCTCGAGCGCTTCGTGTACACAAAGGTCCTGTATTTGTGCGATCAAACTGTCCCGCAAGATCGAGTGTTCGAATTGGGACGAGGTATTGAAAATTGCATTTCCATACCTTTCTATTTCTTTGTGCTTCCTTTCCAGAGCCCAACATGATAGCAATCCTTGATGGGATGAAAACTGGTGAGCGAGATGTAGAGAGTAATGGTGTTTTGGAAGCCACCGATGGCCGTGGTACACACGTAGAAACGCTTGCAAATGAGATTGAACTGCTGCATTCAGAGCTGCAGCGGTGGTCCTTTCAGATTTGATGCCCTGAAGCAAATCTAGTACTCTGCACAAAAGAAAGTAGGAGTCTACGGCACCGTCGATACCAGTCAGCTCCCCTTGGTCCACTTTCATTTGCAAGACACACCTGATCACCGCATAGACGGAAAGCCCCTCTGACGCCGAGCAGCGGATATCACCGCTTTGTTTTTTCTTGAATATCTGCTGGCCTGTTGTGCCGCTTGAGGATATGGAACGGGGCCACACAAACTCTGACAGGGCCATGTGCATGTTTGCTTGTGTGAAGCCGACTCCATTCAGATTCTCCACCAATAGGCCTAGCTCCGTGTTCCACAATCCGTTCACAAGATACACATGCATCCAGTCCCACATGAGCATGCTAACAGGCAGTACCTGGATGTCACTGTCTAGGAGCCCTCCATCTACCAAGTTGTAGCCGCACAATTGCTGGACCTGGTTGAACTTTGTCTGGCTGCACACCCTCTTCTTGGTTTTCAAAAAATCCAGGACGCCCTGCACACTCTCATCGGAGTGCAGTGCAATTTTGGACCAGTCCAAACAACTCGAAGGCACTATAGATGCGGAAAAGGTGTGCAACTCTGAGTTCACATCCACAAGGTTGCGGCACAGAGGACAGGGAACCGTTCCGGCGGCTCCGCGAAAACCAAGCATGTCCTTCAATGCCACCTCGTCGCCGAGCAAAATGCTCAGAGATGCGAACAGGACATGTCGTTCTTCTCTTGGGGGTAGCTGCAATACCACTCCAGTGTTGAAGGGCTCGAAATTCTGCAAACATATTTTGGCAAATGCACCTGTTTTCCCTACAAGGGTTCGAACAGTGTCAGATTTGCAAAGCCCTGCAACAAACCACAAACGTTCGCAACCCAGGTTGCCTTGGCCCAGATTTTGCAACGTCCAGTAAGCCACAGTTAGCTTTCGAGCGTTACAATGTCGAAGCACATTTCCAGGGGCCACATCATCGATATAGAAACATATCTTCCACTGGTTTGAAAATGAGGAAGGAGAAGACGCACACGTGGTAGACATAAGCTTTCCAAACTCGGGGCTCTCGCGGCACACGTGCCAAAGCACTGCTGCAGGGTTGATGCAATGCACATTCACCTGTTTTCGAATAAGCTGGCCACCTTCGGTAACCTCTGCGTCAGTTGGATGGATGGTCAAAAGTTGTCCAAAGGGTGTACTCACACTCAATTCACGTTCCCGGGCCCTCTTCACACTGCTTCTGGATGTAGCCGTGGGTAGGCTGTCTGCCTCAGATAGGGCCTGAAGAACCGCGGCCAGCGCACTCTGCGAAATGTACTTCCCATGGCCAACGTTTGGAGGCTCATTCCAAATGTCCAGAGCAGTAAGGCGAGCAACATGTGCCCAGCCGGCGAGCAATTTACCCGCCTGAAGTTCTGGGTGTTATAAAATGTCTTGGTAAACGGTCACCAAACCATGTTGAAGGATTTGATGTTTGCCTTTCTATGCTTTTAGCATACCAAGGGTTCCAGCTAATTGACCAATGCAGTCCCTGACATTCAGTGGCTGAGAGCCAAGAGCAAGACATAGAAAGGTTTAGCGCTGCCACGCGTGCATGGGCACGCATCAAACGCATGCATAACCGTTTTTTCACAAGCAGGCCGACCCCAGGGTGATGGTTGCGACGTATGTAGAGTAATTAACCACGATGGCTCGCTTGGCCATTGCATTGACACGCCACAAAGCAAACACACGCCAACTGCAAACTATTTGTTTTGTCTGGCTCAAACATACTGGAACTGAAAACAAACACTAATTGCTTCAATTGAGTGGCATCAATGCACCCCTGCCCCATAGAAGGGCTTTGCCTGAAACTCACAAGCCTCGATCGGCTTCCTCGATCAAGGACAAAGCCCGATTAAACGAAGCTCTTTCGTCGCCTTTGAAGGCGACCTTGCGGTCGCACCGATCTGTTCGGTGCATGAAGACTCTCCAGCAGCTCTGGGTGTCCGATCGGTGGATTTTGCCGCAGCGGTACCAAACAGTGCCCGCTCCCGGCGCCGGAGGCGCCGGGCGTTTTTTCTGTCCGGTGGTTTTGGAAGGTGTGCGCTTGGGTTTCGCCGCCGCTTGTTTTGGAGTAGCCTTGCTTTGGTGCGCGGCCTGCTGTTTGGGCGAAGCCTTGGCCTTGGCTTTTGCCTTTCCTTTTGCCTTCCTTTTGCCTTTGCTTGCTTGCCGTCGTGCGCTTGATCATGCAGTTCTTTCTTGTCACCTTTCCGCTGGTCTTGGCGCCTTTCCATCGCCGACTGCATGATGTCGAACTGTTGTGCGGCCGTCGTGTTCACCGTCGTGGCTTGCTGTTGCGTGAGCTCGAGGGCAAACGCTTGCTGGCCTTGCTGTTGCGCCGGTGCTGCCGACTGCTCCGGCTCGCTTGCCGGTTGGGCTGGTTGCTGTGGTGTGTGGACAGGGGTTGTTGGTGTCTCCTGTTGGCTATCAGATGCTTGCTGCTGAATGTCCGAAGTTGGTGCTGTGGTGGAGCCATTCTGAAGGGCCAGTGGAGCCCGCACGTTGTTAATGCCGTTCATCAAAGCCTTGTTTTTCCTCTGGTCAGCAAACACCTGGAGCCCTGGAACTGTGGAGGACAAAGCAGACCCGTGCATCATGGTCTGGAAAGCGGACAAAAACTGGGTCATCATTGCTATTGGAGACTGCGTGCTGTCCTGTGGCCCAGCAAGGCTGTTCGTGTCGGAGCGCACTAGCCTTGAAGTCTTTCTCAAGGGCATCGCCTGTGGGGGAACGGGCGCGATGCCTTCCACCTCGGCTGGCTGATCCGCAGGGTCTGGGTAGGCTTGCTGAAAGATCTGCTCTGGCAGGTTGCGAGGGTTGCCGGGGAAGTCGGCAAGGTGTTGGGGTGCTGCTGGCACCTGCTTGAGCCTGGCCCTCAATTGTGTTTTGAAAGAATTTAGCAGTGCGTATCGGTCTTGGGGTGTGGTTGCGTTCGTGCCCAGCTCAATTGCTTCCGCCACTACGTGCCCTATTGTGCGCTCCGACGGAAGGTGGAGCGTGATGCTTACGCATCGCTCCACAACCGTCCGGATCTTGTGAAACGAGTGATCCTCGCTTATGAGGGCCGCACGGTCCCTGGGTGTGAGGAAGGAGCGGAATCCTGCCACTAGCGTTTGGTTGGGACGTCGGCCTTTGTTTGTGCCGGAGCCCTGCTGAAGTGTGGTTGAAAGGGCTTCAGCGAGCCGTTGCTTCGAAGCCGGATCCCATGGACCTGCTGCCACTGCAGCGGAAAGGGACGCCGCCTGATCAACCGAAATCCGGGCTGCTAAGATCCGAGTTGCCAGGGCAGTGCTTTGCGCCTGCGTCACAGCGTCCCAGGACGCCGTTGGCAAAGACCCACGCTGAGTTTCCAAAAACTGGTTCATGTGAAGAAGGTCTTCGTGAAGTGAGGCCATATCTCACTACGCGGCACCTCTAAACTCTATTCGCGCCAACCAGAACCAGAGCCTATACATGCAGAACAAGCCGTAAGACAAGAAGACCGCTTGGTCACGCTAACTCAAGCAACCCATCTCAAACAACCCTGAAGTGCCAAGCACCATGCAGAACCTTTTGTCTGATGACAGGAGAATGCAACATCTACTCAGAATAGCTGTTTGCGAAGCTTGCCCAAGAGCAAACCGCCCTCACTGCAGTCATGTGTCAAACACTTGCATGCCAGGCAGTAAAGGTAAACGATTTTGCCACGCTCGGATGCTCGCACCAAAACTGCGAAAACTGTCACCTCCAGCCCTCAGCGAGCCACTTTGGCTGCCGGCCGCTTGGCGGCGATCCCCTTCTTGGCTGCCGGCCGCTTTGCGGCAATCCGCTTGGCCGCCGGCCGCTTTGCAGCGATCTGCTTGGCCGCAGGCCGCTTTGCGGCGGCCCCTTTGCTTTCTGCTTTCGGCGCAGGTCCATGGAGCTGGCCCATGCGCCTCCAGCTCAGCGTCTGTGACGAACTGTCCGAATCATCATCAACGCGTTCAAGTGCAGGCTGCACCACGCCCTCGCGCGCAAGCATGGCACCATGCGCCATGGTCCACAGCCTTGTCGAGGGCACTGGCCGGGTGGAGCTGGTGCCCAGAAGGAGCTGAATGCCCTGCGACTCCGTCATGCTGTTCCCGCGCACCAAGTAGCTGCGAACATCTCTCGCCACCTGTGTGGGATTTCCTCTTTTGCTCATGCACGCAACCCCAATTGACCTGGCCAACTCCGCCGGCAATCTTGCCGCGCCTCTGAGTCAACCATTAGAGGTGTGTCGTTTTGTGGCTCAAAACGGCTAAAACCTATAGACAACACATGCCACCATACACACTCTTCATGCGGTTTGCGTTTGTGATCCCTCCTGGCCTGTGCAAAGGTTGGAGGCCCGTGCAACAAGTAGGGAATGGTGGCGATCTCATTACCGCTCCCGGCAAACCGAATAGTCGCCGATGGCGGGTTGACCTCCAAACTCGCCACCACGTCACCGCGCACCCTGCGCATCAAAACTCTGGAAAATGAGCCGTGGCAGTGCCGGTAGAGGATGAGCTCCCCGGCAGGGTCCTCTGAGTCAAACGTGTACTTGAACAGCGGGAGGGGCATACCCATAAGTGAGAGGAAGAGGTCCAGGCGCTGGTCCACTTTGTCGTTGTTTCCCGTCCCCACTCTGGTCCATTTCTTGCAATGGGGGATCGCATCTCCAAAGACAAACTCGTCATTCACATGGGTGCGCTCGAACTTCGCAGCCATTACTCACTATCTGAGTTCAAGCAACTACCAAATGATTCCTTGAAGGCGAGCTCGCAGCCCTGCCAAATAGCTATCTGGAGGCGAGCATTGTGCATACACACATGCCCAGCCAAGGCGAGCATCAGTGTGCCCTGCCACTCTTCGATAAGTGCATTGTTGCACCAAAATAGTGGCTTGCGTATTGATGTTGCAGAAACTGATTGCACACGTTGCTTCACATAAGTCGGAGTCCAATGACCGAAAACCACTGTATGCACATTTATGAGATCACAAAACACGTCAAAGGGTTTACCAGGACAGTGATGGGCTGTTGGGCTTAATGTTCAGTTCTGGCTAGAAACTGGCAGGTGAGACGGGCGCATTGCTAGGAAATCCACAACATGTGTTGTAATTATTCATCGATCGATATGGATCTCCATGTTTGCTTCCAGCCCTCAAACCTCGCATGCCCGTTTTGTGATGTTTCCCTTGGCGCAAATGCTATAGCCTGGGTTAAGGAGCAACCAATGAGACATTTCAGGACCTATACTGGTTGGTGGTTGGGGTTCCAGTATCGGAGTTCTTGGTGACATCAAACCGGAATGGAGTTGTGTTGTGCTGCACTGGCTTTGCAGTTGGTGAGCCCAAAGTCGAATTGCCTAGCTGCCCATGTACCCTAGCCCACTCGAGGACCAGCCAATGCTGTGTCAAGTGGACATCGCCCCCAACAAAGAAGTTGTGCGCTCCCCCCCCCCAAACCTCTCGACGCAAGCGGCAGTTGGCCTCGCAAGAAAACATGACACCCCAATGTTGAAGTTACAACGCAAGCTGGAATAGTTCTGTTGTGTGAGTTTGCCAAGATTAACTCCGTTCATATTTCCAAGGGTTGCCCAACCAGCGAGGGATATCTGTATTGGGGTTGGTTTCAACAAACAATGAACTGATTTCCTCTCCAGCACAAGTTCAAAAATTAATGGCTCTCCTCTAAAGCACAATATCCGTTCTTACAATCATATCCCTGGTTGACCAAGAAGGTTGAGAGTGGCACTCAAACAAAGCGCATACTTAGTCCAGAAACCCCGTCCCAGCAACCTCCCAATGCCGTCGGTGTCAGCGATGTGTTTTCATCCGTGTGAGATGGTCGATCGAGGGCTCGCGCGCACACCGATTCCGGTTTCTACCATGTCAGAGGCATGTTCTGGTGTGGTTTCCGGAGGTGACCAGCTTAAACATCAGGGTGTGTGCCGTTTTGTGAGCTCCATGCAAGCCTCAATACCTCCGGAATCAGTCCCGAAACATGCTCGTGCGTCGATGTCGCCTGACACACCATCCCCCAGAGTGCCAAATCCATGTTTTATTGATTGATACACTTTCTGTAGGGGACCAAACCAAAGTTTTATTGATTGATAAACTTTCCGGGGTCGCGCATCCCAAATCTTATTGATTGACAAACTTCTTGGGCGTGACATGAGGCGAATCAAGGTGCAGACCGCAAACCTTTATTGATTGATAAACTTTCTGGGTTGCCCCTCCCAAAGCTGTATTGATTGATAAAACTCTGTTGTCCAGCGGGCGAGGGCCCTCCATGTCCGTGAAGCCAGATGTTTGGACCAATGCTTCTCCAGCCAGCCATGATTCGCCCCTGCTAAGCCTCCGCCTTAAGGCGCAAAACCGGTAAACGCGCCGCCGCACCAGGTTCATGGCTGACATCAGGTGTGTCATGAAACCTTCTGCATGCAGGGGTCCCACTTCCAACACTGGCCATGTAACCCTCATGCCGTTCACCCACGGTGGCTGGGCCTGTACATCAGCGGCGGTTCAAAGCCGTGTTCACAGCTTCGGCCATCTTGTGGAGCGCGTCCACCGCCTTGTTGGTGGTCTCCTGCTGGGCGATCATCTGGCGCGCGGCATGCACCTGTACTCCACCTCGCTTCCGTGCTCGGGCTCGGTGCTTCCTGAGATGCGAGGGTTCGGCAGCATCCATATATGGGTCAACATGTAAGGGGCTGAGACTTGTAGGAGTTTCACGGTAAATGTTGCCTATGTTGCCTCATACTAAGTATGGCTCAACAAGTCTCGGTTGACACCTGTGGGAATTTCACGGCAAACCACGTTTCCGCATCGCATCACATGTTTCCGACTAACATCATGTAACATGTGGCACATAATACCAATGTGTTCATTTGATCATACTATACACACGGCATGGTTCTCAGCATGCCATCACCCAGAAACATGGTTGCCAGTGACACCGAATCCTGCAGAGACAGATCAAACAAGGCCGGGCACGCGATGCTCGCCAAACAGAACAGGCAGGGCACAGGATGCTCGCCAAACAGAACAGGCAGGGCACAGGATGCTCGCCAAACACAGTCGTCGGTCGGTCGTTCGGTCGTCGGCCGTTCGGCCGTTCGGGCGTCGGTCGTTCGGTCGTCGTTCGGCAGTCGCGTCGGTCGTTCGGCCGTCGGTCGGCCATCGCGTCGGTCGTTCGGCCGTCGTTCGGCCATCGCGTCGGTCGTTCGGTCGTGCAGGGCACAGGATGCTCGCCGGCAGGGCACGCGATGCTCGCCAAACAAACAACCCAGCGCACAACCGGCAGGGCACAGGATGCTCGCCAAACCATACAGACTGGTCAAAGATGGTCAAATGACAACAGTTGGCGCAACCCGGAAGCCTTTCATGTTGCTGGCACTTTGCCAAATGGATTGTGGGGGAAACCGACCAGTGCATTTCAAAACTGGCACCATGCCCTGGCAAGTGTCTCCTGCCATCCGCCCCACCGGCCACTCCAGTCATGAGCAGACCAGTCGCGCCAGCCCTCCTGCTTGACATGCTGCCCTGCGAAGCAAATTGGACCAAGCCCACTCGTTGACAAAACGGATTGAAAACCACATCTCCCATTTCTTGAAACTCTGATGAGCTATTGTCATGAGTTTGTTAAAACGGTTAACAGTTCGTTTCATTTTGTTCTGCGTTGCAACCCCTTAAAGATGTATAAAGATGTTGCGGCTTTGCTGCTTCCCGGATTATAGCTGTTGACGAACTGTTGAAACATATCGAACATCCATCACACACACAAATATATTGAAACACGGGTTTCTCGACCAACTGCCTTTGCCATGGCCTTTCTGGCCCTTCTTGCCCTTGGCCTGCACCTGGCTGGAGCCCTGCCCCGTCTCCTTGTTGTAGCTCCATGAGCCCCAGGAGCCCTTGCCATAGCTCTCGTCGTCCTTCTCTGCAGGCACGATGTAGCTCTTGTCCGCCATGTTGGGCTCGTTGTCCTGTTCGCGTTCAGCCTCATCCGCGGGCCCAACTGGCTTTGCCATGCCATCCGGTATCTCCGGCTCGCCCTCGGTCTCCTCCTTCGTGCCGTACCAATCCTCCCACCACTCTTCACCATCGGGCCAAAGACCTTCTCCATCATCGGGCCATAGACCTTGTCCCTGCTCATCCGCGCGCCACTCAGCTTCTTGCCAATGTCCATGATCGTCTTGTTCAGATCGAGCCTGCTTCCGCGCCGGCGACTGCTCCTCGCCGCGCTTCTTCGTCATGGCCATGCCGGCTTCCATTGCGGCTCGATTCCGAAAAAAAGGAGGTGGTGGCGTGCGTGCGTGCTTAAGATGTCGCTTGCGTGCCTGAGTGCATCGTGCTCATGCTACAGTCCAGTGCCGCTCATGCTGCAAGTGAGTGCCGCTCATGCTGCTGTCCAGCGCCGCTCGTGCTGCAAGTGTCCCCTACTGCCGCATAGTGCTGCATGCTCATGCTCCAAGTGTCCAGTGCCGCTCATGCTGCTCATGCTGCTCATGCCGCTCATGCCGCTCATGCTGTCATTTCGCATGCCATCTCCGCAAAACAGGGCTTGAAACACACACACATGCACATGACTGAATGCTCTCATCCAAAGAACGGCCCAATAGCCTCCACGCCTCCACGCATCCTGCCAACGGTAACCATAGCCTCCGACCTGTGTGCATGCCCAACCGTGTATCGCCTGACCTGCCTCCCAACACAGCTCTCTCCGCAGCTCACTCAACAGGTTGGCCATTTGCAAAATACGACCCTGAAAAGAACCTCCAACTGACCAAAAGTAAAAAAGGAGTAGTGTACAACAAACATGTTTACATTTGAAGACAACCTCACGCAAGCACTCTCCAAGATGTTCCTGCATTTTCATGCTCCGTGAACCGCCCGCTTAGCATTAGTGCTGTCAGATGCAGCCATCCCCTGCGCACGACAGACGTGCGTGCGATCCTTAGAGATCGTCTTCCCCTTGCGCTTCCTCTTTGGAAGCAGGATCATCCTTCTTTGCCCTCTTGTTCCTGCTGGCTTCGCCAGCTGCTTGAGAAGCCAAAATTGCTAGGCGTACATGTTCCAGCACTGCAGCATCTAATTCAAGCCACATGTCTGGGCCTTTCACACTCCACAAAGCTTTGACCGATCGCTCAGGGAAGCACTCCCCCATGTGCTCCACTGCATGGAGGGTGACAGTGATGAAGCTGGGCGCAAGATGTTTATCTCCAGGTCTGGCTGCTCGTTTGCGCTTAGGCTTCCCACCCTTGCCCTCCTTGGGGTCGTTGACATCGCTGCCATCCTGAGTGTCCCCGCTCAAGATGTCTTTGATGACCTCTGCGGAGGTGTTGTGGATCTGTTCTTGTAAGTCATCGAGAAAGGAGCATGAGATGTGGTGGCTGCGGCCACGCCTCAAGTCTAGCACACGGCCCTTCAGGGTCCTTCTTCTTTAGGGAGGTGGTTTCCAAAACGCTGATAGTCTCATCTGAGAGGCTTCAATTGTCCGTTCAGCATTTGACTGTCCTGCGGTGCCGATTCAAAGTCTAAAACGCCAGGTGGAGGCGTGGAGGCTGCAACAGAGACCCTAGATAGCTGCTTGTAAATTTGCTCCGTTGCATTCATGGTTTTGGCCCTTGCAGGGCTAAGTTAAAAAAAGAAAACAAGGGGTCCCAAAAAAAGGGGTCCCCGAAAAAAGGGAAAAGGGGTTTCCTTTGGCAAAGCTTGACATCGCTTGAAATGCAACCTGGAGCCAAATTGCGGCGCATATCTAGGGGTCACTATTTTGCAGCCTCAC